TGGTGGGGGGTGGGGGGGTCTGACCCTGCGGCTTCCGCTTCTGACAGCCGTATGCTGCAATCGTCTCTCATGTCTCTATTTATTGGGATTTGATTTCCTCGCAATGTTTCTCTTCTTTCCCTTTTAGGCACAAATATAAATTCCGCTTTGTTACTCGCTGCCGAAATGTTGCAAAACGACAGAAAGAGCAAAGTGTTACCTGAAATCAGCGCTTCCATCATCGTCTTCCTGTCCGATGGAGACCCCACGTCTGGTGAGAGGCCGTGAAATGCGGCACTTACATTTAAAGTGTACCTGTCATATTTGTGATATGTGGCAACTTAGCGGTCCTTCGATGCGGCGGCTGCATTCGTTTTCCTTTTTTAGGCTTTCTCACTTCATTATCACCTGGCGATCCTGCCAGTAACACACTTTCTGTCCCAGGGTGACCCCCTGCCCAACGCACACTCCCTGTACTGTATCTATGGAGGAGCAGCATTTCCAACCTAGGATAGGACTTTAGAATGCCCCCCACCCCCCCAACTTCCCCTTATCCCCATAACATGGGTGATGTGTTCTGTAGATATAACCTGAGCTGGGTTGACAACATTGCACGACATACAAGAGGTTAGCATCCACTGGACTTCCAACAGAATCTAGTGGTACCTGGTTTAGCACTCCCTGTGTGCAAGTCTAAGCTCTGCCCCTTACCCCTCCTCCCATGCCTCTCTGACCAATAGAAAGGTGAGCATTGAAGTGGGTGGGGTGGAAGGTTGCTACCAATATAGAATAAGAGGAGCCTTCTGGTTACCCCCTTTTAAATGCCATTATCACGTACCCGGCTGGAGACTGATTGGATGAGGGGGCTCCCCTCGCACCTTGTGTCCCCCAAACACAGAGGATGAGAACAGAGCCTGAGAAACAGCAAGCGGCACGGGTGCCAGTGGATGGGGCAACACCGTGTCGGGTAGACGTCCTGGATCTGGATCGGGTAGAGCAGAGCCGAGGTCACACCAGGCGGGCAGCAGGGTACCAGAGCAGTAGGCAGAATGGAGGTCAGGCAAGCCAGGGGTCACACCAGTCGGGCAGCGAAGTACAAGGGATGAGGCAGAGCCAAGGTCCAGTAACATTTCCAAGGTCAGAAGGCAGCCAGGAACCAGAAGCAGTCAGGTTCAATCCGGGTCAAGGTGCAAGAGCAGCAAACAGGATGACAGGGAAGAGCTGGAAGTCCAGACTGTGCTTGCTTTAAATAGGAAGATCAATTCAGAGGTACTGCATCACTTCCTGTGCGCCAGATTAGCACGCTTGTGCGCGCACGTCCCGATGCGCGCGCATGCACGCATGTGCCCGTTTTCCTATGGTACCAAAGACGGGACCACGCACATGCGCAGTAGGCCTGGACACCTTACAGCCATTGTTACATCCATTTCTGAAAGTGACAATAGGAAAGGAAAGCTCTTTCCACAACTTGCGTGCAGAGATGCTACAATGTAACAGAAGCAGATGGGAAGAAGTGGGAGGAGACAGATCAGGATTCTACCAATCACAGAGGAGTCACCTGGCGGCCAGCCCATAGCATGCCAGGAGGAGGGCGGAGCTCTTTTCACAGGTTGCGTGCCAGCAGAGCTGTCGCTTATTGCACGGCGAAGGTATACAATGTTTCCCTTACCTGAGGGTCTTCCTGAGACTTGTATCTTTCTATTTTCTTGCTTCATACCTCGCAGGGGTCACGGATCTGGGCGAAATCCTGAAAAACGTCAAGGCCGGCATGGAAGGGGTGGCCGCGCTGTACAGTCTGGGATTCGGCACCGATGTGGATTATGGCTTTTTGGAGAAGATGTCATTGGAGAACGGGGGCCTAGCGAGGCGGATCTATGAGGACTCTGACTCCGCCTTGCAGCTGCAGGTGAAGTCATGTATACATAATATATATAATTAGAGGCTACGCGGTACGCGGAGGAGCGCCTCTGTACCTGCTGACATGCTGCAAACGTATAATGACCTGCATTCCCCATAGAAACAAATGACATCAAAAGTTTATATTTTTTTGATACAAATTGCGTTGATGTGGATCCTTACCGGCTTCTAATCCCAGATCCCGCCCTGTGCGGAGATTTCCCTGCTGCGGAACAGCAATCTGAGCACCAGCAGACGGAGAATGATCACCAATGGGGCAAACTAACTGGGCAGTTGACCCTTAACACAGAGTAGCCACCACGTTAGTTTGTGTCCTCCCGTTACCCTAAGGAGAACTATGGGGAAAAACACTGACCCCATAGTTCTCCTTTAATGGAAACATTGCACCATTCACAGAATCAGCTGTTTCATTTTTGACCTTGTCTGTATCACTCGCTGCCACACCCATACAGGATTGTAGCCAGGCCCGGATTCCCCACAAGGCCACCGAGGCCAGACCTCGGGGGACAGCAGGGCGCAGAGGGGAGGCAGAGGTGTGGAATCCCCCGACGCCCGGAACATACAGTGCAGGGCGGTAAGTTGCGCTTTTTACATTTACTCCTGCTTTGGGAAGGCGGGACTAAATGTAGTGTGGGGAAGCTGCTTGTTTCGTTTACAGGTGATCACGTGTAAAATGTGTGCAGCCTGTCCGTCCTCTGCCTCCCC